TCTGAAAACTTGGGGCACAAGATTTACCTTGTTACTTGATAGTTGCCAAGTATCGCCTTCAAATATTTAGGTTGGGTCGGACTTCTAGGGGTTGCTCCTTTCGTGCTCTAAAATGTGTAAATATCTACCGGGCACTCGCGATTCCAACCGGGTCCGGACCCAAATCTCAATTTTCTACCGGTTGGTCGTCGAAAGGTACTTGTAAGCAGCCCGTAGCAAAAAACCGACCTCGATTTGGCCATGTTTCGAGTGATTGGTGGTAGGAAACGTCCTACCGGGCCGAAAACGGGCAAAGTGCTGACATACTGTGGGCTCTACTTGACCTGTGCATGTGTACTTTTCGACCGTACGGGTGTACATTTTCAAAATCTCCGGGTCCACGGACCTACGGGAAGGTCTTGGGTTCGACCCCAACCAAGATCGCCAAAAACTTTTCTTTTTACCATGCCGCTAGGGAGCTAAAACTATGAGTGCCGGAATTGGCCCTACCTGATCCTGCGAACGCCCAGAAGCGCAGAAGCTCGACGAGTGCGTCCTTCTCTTGAATAGAGTCCACTGTCACAGACGGATGCTCAGAACCTTGGAGCTCGCTTGTGAAGAGCTTCTCAAAGACCTGCATTATGCAGGACCGAGACCGGATTAGCTGATAGGCTTTGAGGATTCTCATCTTCTCTCATCTGAAATCATGGGGACAGTAAGGATGCTATCAATCCTCACCAGAGATGCGATGCTCTGCAAATGGCAAGCTCTGAGCGATTCTTGTCAATGTTGGCATACATGGTGCTCCAAACTCGAGCGCATATTTTCAGAACTTGTACCTTCCAGCATATGTACCAGGCAACTCTCAAAATCTGACGTGCTCCTACCTTCAATGTCAAACCACGCAACCAAACGACATTCCTGAACCATACTGTTCCCTGTCTCAGACGGTGTGTCGTCATCTTTTCCGGCTTCTCCAAAAAAAGGTGACAGAGACAGACAAAGGTGGTGCCTTGTGTATTGAATGGATGGGGCAGATCCACTCTGGTTGACACACAGGTCCATGCTGACAATACATGCTTGAAGCCCTACACCAGTATAAGGGTGACACTGTTCTTTTCATGAGTTGGACATTGTCCTTGAATGTTCAAAGAGGCAACCCAGCAACTTTTGATTTCGTTCCAGTCCCCATCTCAAATTTGTCTTGTCGAGGTTTGCCTGTTATGACTGCTCACTGCCAACTCACCTCACTCTCTGTGGCCAACTCCAGAGCATTCAACGCAATCTCCAAGGCTCCAAAAACTGAGCTTCTGGTTGCTTCCTTTTCTCCCCAACCAATGCACCACTCGCGTCACTCTCCTCTTCCCCAGGCGGCGGATACCGGATGGTCAGCCGGTGAGGAGAGAAGATTCCTGGCACATTAAAGCAGGCTGCCCTTTCCAGGGCCATACCCACGACAGACTGCAAGGCTTGGAAAAACGCCCTGCTCAAAGCTGGCGGTTTCAAAATGGAGCGGTACAGTTCTTCAAGATATTATGGGCCAAAATGCTGAAGAAATGCAGCCAAGGTTCGTCGACATTCAATGTCAACAAGCTGCACAGCCGGCCGACACAGCCTCAGTCAGGAACCGAGCTGAAGCAAGCTAGCGAACTGGATACAGAATTTACGCGCACGGGCTGCATGGGTTACTGGTTACAGGCTGCTTATGTAGCTCATGCCTGCGCTTATACGGTCCGTGCACCATTACGGGATGGGGTCAATTTCTGATTCCAGGGCGATATGGGGTCAAATTCTCCTTAGGAATGGCAACCGCGAGCTGCCGGTCCCGCCGTTCGGTTAATTTGCGCAAGCAAGACTGGACTGACCTTCGAAGCAACGGACGGCAAATCATTTAGCCGTCTCTCGACACGTGGACAGCGTTTCTAGTGGTGATGCGCGCTTATGTGTCTGGCAAGTGGCAATACCTAGTACTGGTAAAAGTTTTCCCCCGGCCGGATATAGGTACCGTAGTGGAAAGGTATGAATCCGAAAAAATAAATAATTATTTACCATTCGGATTGCTACATTACCTGTTTTTCGTTCAGAAAGTGATTTTCCGGATTCATTTAATAATTGCTCAAATGCCGTCGGATTCTCAAAATATTAGCCGGGCAGTCTAGAAGCAGCAGATATGGAGCAAAAATGTGCTCGGGGAGCAGTTCCGAGCACATTCGGATTCAGGGTCGCATTCATTAAATAAATCGACAAAAGACGTCGTATTCAATCAAATAATTATCATTTTTGATTATTCGGATTCATACCTTTCCACTACGGTATACGTTCTACGAGATATGTATATGCGCTCCCCTTCTGGAAGAAAGGCCCATGTCACACAACCAGAGGGAGCGCCCACGAGCGCCTTGTCAGGGAGGACTTTTCTGCAGCCGCATTATTGTCCAGCCTTCAACGATTTGTTGAATTCTAGTCTCACATAGCCTTTCGAAGTAGCTTGTCAAAGCAGCGTGCTGCCTGGTGAGGGGCTTTCTTCTCTCTGCAAGGACATTTATTCAGCACATTGAACCGTCCAAGAGCCCCTCTTTTTGGTAGTCTTTTCATCGACTTTCTTGTAATAGCAATCAGAGATGGTGCTTTCTTCTGGGTGTTCAAATCTGCATCACATTCAAAGAAAGTGTGGTGCGGCGGGCGGCGTTCCGTCGCAGTACGGTGCTTACAGTATGTCCCGACATTCTTTGGTGGATGTCAATAACGAGAGCTCTTCTGTGAGATAGCACCGTTTCATCAAAATGGCGCCCACAGGTTTCAGAACGCACGCTGAAAGCCCGCTTCTTGACCAGCTGCCCACCTCTAGTTCCTCGCCCAGATTCCGAAACAGCACCTCCCGCCCCAAGGCCTTCTCTAAGGCTCTCCCGCTGCCAATGCTGGTGAGAGAGAGGCCGCTGCGGGTAGCTTTTCTTGTCCTTTTAGCGCTCGTTCTCAGTTTCTTGGCGGTGGTGTCATGGGCGCATTTAAACCCCGACACGCGGCTCGGGAGAGAGATGCACTTCTTTGCGCCTGCAGAGGAGTGGCGGAAAGCGAGGGTGGCATTTGAAAAGGGGCAGTTTCGGCCGTTGCTAGGTGGGGACTCTCAGAGCGTATTGACAGCAGGGGGGAAGGAAGAGTTTGGAACGCAAGATGAGGGGCATCGAAATGAAGTTGTGGAGCTTGACAAACCCGAGTCGAGCAATGTTCATGAGAACAAAGTGCTAGGTGTTGCGCAAGAAGGCAATGTAAGAGAAAGTGAAGCAGACACTGAAAATACGGGCGCGTCAGTGGACATTGAAGAAGGCAAGACTACCTCTCAGGCCGACGTTCAAAATGAACTGGGGGTTGCGAACAGCAGTAGCACTGCCCCCCCGGAGCCCCACCCAGTAGTTGCGTTTGTAATTAAAGCCTTGTCTCAGTTCGGCTTTGAGAAGGAGCCCACTTTAGAAGCGGCCCTCCTGTTGACCACGCCTCCTAAGTTCCCTGGCTCGTATTCTGAAAGTGGAGCGGGGAAAGATGATGACACCAGAAGGAAGGAAAGCGTCTCGGTACGCCAATCCTTGGAGCACAGCACTGACTTAGAAACAAGTCATGAAGTCCATTCGGAACCAGACTCTTCAGCAAACAAGGGTCAGAGCGAAGTCCCAATTACAACTCACGAACTGGGGGTGCCCAAGAACATGCGGAAGGGCACCCCCTTGGAACAGCTGAGGCGGGTTATGCCGGAGCGCCGGCCAAACCCAATCCCTAACCCCGAGTTTTGGGCTAAGACTTACTATGGTAGCGGGAGTAGCATGAGTTGTGACCTGGGGGATGGGGCGTGGGTCGAGGACGCAGAATTGGAGCCCCTGGAAACAGCGAATTGCAGGTATGATTTGGAATTGAATTCGTTGTCACATGATCGCATCGACGTCAAATGGTTTCGATGGCCCTATCTGTATCTTTCTGGGTCATTGTATCTCAATTTTGGTCATGTACATCTCACTATCATTGTGAGGTGCGTGGGGGCCAGAGTCTTGCAACGGAGCGAACGGAAGCGATTCGAGTGGCGAACTGGCACAGCAATCTTTTTGACTGTGTTCACGGCAAAAAACCGTTGACTCCCGTGCTCTTAAGATTGTGAATGTTAGCCCTCCAGTCATATTAGATTAGCACACCAGTCTCATCATTGCTCTCATCTTTTGACCATAGCCATCATTGAGTTGCACAAATATAATCAGGAGCTGTATGTCCTCATAATTGCTCCGAGTCAACCACAGTGACCGTAGGTCAAGGACCCGCCAGAGTTGCAATTGGCCTTAAGCGCTTGAGGAGCCACATTATTGGGTACAGGTTGGCATAAGGAGCCCCTTAAGCCAACCCTTACCAACTTCAAGAACGAGCGACCGGCGTCCCTGTTGAAAAGCGAGCAAATCCCACTGCTTGATCAGTAGCTCTCCATTTCGCCGAGCAGGAAGTAATGAGAAAGAGACAGTCCAATCGATCCTGATTGCCTCGCTTCCAGATCGCCTTTGATGAAACAACAGCTTTTAACCGACAACTCTGCTATGGACTCACCTTCTTTGGTCAGCAACCTCTGCTTCCATCGCATCCCAGAACTAACGTTCTGAGCCGCTGCTGACGTCACACCCTTTGGCTCCCCTCAGGTACACCGAGGGGGAGCAGTGCGCGTGGCGCAGGGAGTCGGTTCCTAACTACCGGTCGTTCCGGTGGCTCCCATACGATTGCGACCTGCCCTTCTTTGACGCAGAGTGAGTGCTTTGTGGCTTTGGTTCGCACGGGGCGTCTGATAAAATGCCATGTTCGTGGCGACTGTGAAGCCTTCAATGCACCTCTTTTGGTCGCCTGCTAAGTCCTTGATCGACACTCAGGCAGCGAGATCGAAAGCCGGCAACAAAGGTCTGGGAGGTCTGTCAAGCAACTATGGTGTGACGCTAGCGAACGCCGTTCTTAAAATGCGTTTGAGGATTCCATGTCGAGTCCTCTCAGGTCTTCTGATTTTTTGTATTGGAAGCTCCCTTGTAACTGCGAGTTACCGTCTTTCGTTTTGACACTGCCAGACAGGGATCGAGTTGCACTTGTCTGACCTTGGCTTTGACCAGGTCAGAAGCAGTCCTTCTTTCCAAGTGCCAGTCTGACGGCTCAGGTCGAATACTGTTAAGGACGATTTGACTCGCCGAAGGCCCAGGCCCCTTATTTATCCTTTGACATCCTCCGACGAGATTGCTTTTGAAGGTTGGAACAGTTTCGAGTCTGGATGTACATGCTGTCAAAGCCTTCGTCGACCGCTTTCTCACTGTGGTATAGCCCACCCGTTCACTGAGGCTTTAGTTCCCGGCAACTTCTTATACCAGACTAAAGAGTCTGGAGCGGTCTTATCCGGAGCATTCTTCACCGCACTACAATGCTCCAAGTCGATCATCCGCAAGCCAGCTAAGTTTTGTTCTTTTCCTCTCCCCAGGTCGTTCCTCGAGCAGTGGCGCGACAAGACGGTGTTGGTAGTTGGGGACTCCCTCGGGCGAAATTTCTTCGAGGCGCTGCTCTGCCAGCTGTCAGCCGTTGGGCCGCTCGTTCCGTTGTCGGAAGCAAGCGACCGGGAAATAAGCGACCGGGAACAAAATGATCGGGACATGCGGGGCCAGGAAATGAGTGACGGGGTAGTGGACGAAAGGGAAGAGACTGACCGGGAGACGGGAGAAGGGGAAGCGAACAACCGGGAGAGGACGGATCGGGGGGCCACGGAGCTGTTCTGGAGCGAGCGGTTCAACGTCACGGTGGGCCGGGTGACGTCAGAGTTCCTGGTGATGCGGGACACGAGCGCCGAGGAGCTCGAGAGGTTCGGCCAGGTGAGCGGTTACAAGACTTTATTATCAGAAACGTTTATGTTGGTCGGATTCATATCCTCGCAGAAACATCAAAAGACTCTCCGGGGAGCTATTCCTTGTTCTCCAACCACCCCCAATCCCTGGAAAGGCGGATTTCCCGTCGTTCGTCGCAACAACCCTCGTAGTGTGCTTGTAGTGTGATTCTGCTTTTCTGCTTTCTGCTAAATCGACGTCAACTCGCACAGTCGCCCCCCTTGGGCTGTAAGCAGACATTTAGCCAAATTGTTTCATCTACTGGGGGTCTATCAACAATACGCCCAACCCCCTGTGCAGAAAGCGGGCAAGGACCGGTTCCTCTTGTCGCTCGACCGGTTGGATCCCGCGTGGGAAGCCCTCCTGCCGCGAATCGACCTACTGATTCTCAACTCGGGGCACTGGTGGGTTTCGAAATCGAAGCGAAAAGCGTATCTGCTGGGGGGCGAGCTTCGACGAGAGCTAGATAGCTCGGAGGCGTACAAGATGTGAGTGCCCCGCTTTCAGAGCTCGTGTGTTTTGAGGCCATTGTTTTGAAAAGCATCGATCGACATTCGAGGTCTTTTCCGTGTTGTGCAAGAGATTTTGATCAATAGGTAGCCGATGTGTTTGATCGACATTCGTGGGGGCTTAGGGTTTGGGTCACGGTGATCGGATAAAGACAAGGCGAGGAACTGTCCGAGAAAGAGAGGACTCTGGAAGGAACGGACAGGGAGTGGGCGTTCGTAAGCACTCAGACCGGCTCGTCCGCAAAGCCATCTGCGCCGCGGCTCCTTTTTGAACCGTTCGAGCCTGAAGCTGATGTTGTCGAAAGTTTTTCAGCCATCTATCTTTGAGCTCGTTCGATTGGGCCTCTGAGCAGAGGACGCGTCTTTCCAGGCACCAAAACGACGCGCGCTGATTGCATTGGGATACACAACGACGGACGCGAGAAGAAGCAGCCTCGACTATTCCGTTCTGAATCTCCTATTGCACACGCACTTGGAGAAGAAACAACCGAAACCGTCGAAAAACTATCCGCTTCATCTTTACAAGACGCCCCGTTTCCTCCAATGTAAAGATGCAGACTTGTACGAATCGCTCTTACGCAGCGCCATGCGGCACGTGCGGGACGCCGTCGAGGGTTCGGGCTTCAAGGGCGTCGCCATGTTCCGGACGTTTTCGGACGCGCACTACCACAAGGGCGACTGGGACACTCCGGGGGCGAACTGCAAGAACGGACGGCCCGAGGAGACAATCAAGCTGTCTAGCAAGCTCTTGAGGTTCAATCTCAAAATCTCTGCTCCTATCTGTGTTTTAGGTGCGATGCTGGTAATTGTCTGTCTTCCATTCTAAGCAGAGAAAGGTGAAAGCTGTGTTTGAGCAACTTTGTTCCGTCTGAGAACGTTCGATGCCGAAGGAAGGTTGTTCACTGGCCGAAAGGGTTTCTAAGAGTTGCTCTATTTGCTTGATTGTCTTTTCCCACTTCTTATCTTCGTTTTCTACATTGCCTCGATCTTCTTCCTCTTTTCACTTGTGGTTGGGTACTTCTCTGCCTTTCATCCTTGTTTAAGGCTCGAGCCCACTCATAACATTTCGAAGTATTGCACGCAGATTCTGGCCGCGGTTCAGCCAAAAACGTTGTCACTTCGCGTTTGTCAGGCGCTTTCTGCTTGTCTCGTCTTCTCGTTTCTGTTCCGTAAGCAATCCGCACCGTCGTTGCCTTGCTTTCGATCTCCTCCGCTCGTATATGCGCTGTGTTGGGCTCAATCCGGCCTCCTCGCAAAATCGCGCAGCGATCGTAGAGGGACTTCTCTGCGAGGCAACGGAACGGCGCCATCGATTCGTTCTGTTTGATCGGACCTGTTGAGTGCGGCGCCAAGAGCCAAAGCGCAAAACTTCAACGGACTTGCCCAAGGAACTGCCCGACAAAAGCACCAACGTTGACATAACGCATTGATACTTTCGGCGCTTCTTCTGGGATAAGCTCTGTTCAGAACAGGATTTTGTGCACAGATTGGACTTTTCGGAGATGAGAGAAAGGGGTTCGATTCGGCGCTTTTTTGCCTCTCGCAGGTTTCTAAGCGTTCAGGAAGAGATCTTCAGCGGATCAGAGTTCCGCCTGATGGAGATAACGCGCCTGACCGAGTATCGGCACGACGGCCACGTCGGGCCGCGCAAGGACTTGGGCGGCAAGTGGGACTGCACGCACTGGTGCGCGGGGGGAGTGCCCAACACGTGGCTTGACGTCATGCAGGCAATGCTGGACGCGTGACGACACGTGGCGCGTATTTATAGGGGGATTTCACGGGTAGCGGTCACGTGATGCCACCTACCATGTCTCATACTGACTTCTGCTACCGCAAGGAGCAAATAAAACAAAACGCTGGAAGTCGGAGGTACGTGTGGTCTCTAAGTGAGTTTTGAGAGGTGCCGCAACTATGATGGAGCGGGAAGGGATGCTGAGACACGTGGGGCGGGTTTCGTGTAGGCACGTCACATGTTTTGGATCGAATAACGAACGGCTGGGTTGGATTGCTTCTATTCGAAAAACGAATCTGTAAAGAACTGAAAGTAGTCGGGAATGGAGTGAAAGCGAACATGTCTTGGTCAAAAGGAGGTTGATGTGGTTTACAATTTGCACGTAGGGCGACTGCAGATTGCCGCCCAGATGAGCACCTGTATACATCGGACTAAGTCAGCAGCAGTCGTTAACGGACTGTCGTGTTAGGTATTTTGTCTCAGTCGAGCCGCTGCAGCTAGCGTCAAGCAAACCAGGTTCCGGGTTCTACCCATTTTGACGTACTATTAGTCATATAGAGCCATGTAAATTAAGGTTGCAGAGTGACGTTGCCAGCTTTGTTAGGGTTTCCGGAAGCCCGCCGCGCATCGACAACACTTTCATGTACGCAATGATCTGGCAACAAACCTTGACTCTGATCGAAGCGCTTTGTTGTCCAACTTGGTAGGTGATAGCACTGTTTCCTCGCTGCCTATCAAGCACGTAGTGAATATGATCAGTTCGTGCTCAGCAATTTTGCAATTTCTATCAGGGCCATATGCGGGTTGTGCACAAACCTTGCCTCTAGTGTACTTGCACACTATCCCATGTCTTAATTTGGCACGCAAGGGCTTTCAGAGAAGCATCCGTCTTGTGTACGATCCGTACCGAACCAACGTACGGGGCCCCATATCTGCTCCAATCAATGTCGTAATAGTTCAACCTTTTTGAACGTGCACCGTCAGCTGATAACTCGAGTTGCTAGCCCCTGGTGGACAAGCTCTTTTTTGGGCTGACGTACTTTGGAACTTTCTAGGTCTGATCACCTCATGATTGCAGGCCAACCTAAAGCATGATCTCGCCGCGCACCTTCGCTGGCAGTTCTGCAGGCTAATTTGCGCGGACATTGAATCCGTCCGCGAAGTTGGTCAAGAAGCTGGACATCTTCGAGACATACTTGTTCAGACATCATCTGGACAAGTCGGACAGGTCTGTATTCTGTACGCAGACAGAGTGAATGCGCGTTCGGACAGGGTTTGGAACAGGTGCTAAACAGAAGGATCTCTACGGTGTGCGATACCATTCTTTCGTGCATTCAAAAGATGTTACTTTGCGGCTTAGAACCCCATACAGAAAGTCAGCGCGCGCATGCATGCAGGGGTCCCGCTGGAAACAGACCCTCCCGCGCCGCTGGATTTGTTGGCTCTCCGCTCTTGTTCCAACTTCCCAGAAACTTCTCAAGCCGAGACCGACGGAACTTCTGAGATGTTTGAACGACGAATCTGATTAGGAAAGAAAGACGATTGAAAGCGCACTAGCCAATCTCGAGGTGTGTGTGTCTTTTCAGCGCTCTCGTCTTGCTGCTTTTTCCCCTGATTTAAGTTTCGACGCCAGTTGCCACGTTGAGTGCGCCATCGAAGTTGCGCCAAACGCTCTTTCTACAATCCATCTGAGCCTTTTTAACGCAAGCAAGCTCTTTGCAGGAATCCAAGATTCGCAGACCCATTTACCCGAGGAAACAAAATGGCGAAGGAACGGGAAGCACCGCGGGCGACTCGCGACCAGTGAGCTTCAGTTCTTCCTCGATGCTGGCTTGCAGTTTGCTCGAAGCGCGTCAACAATTGCCCCTGGAATCGCATCTTTCGCTAGGCACTCTAGCAGTCTTGGATGGCAAGGCAGATCCCTGGATGAGAAGGCTATTATGATGCGATGAGACGGACAAGGACGCTTTCCTGGCTTCTTTCCTGCTGATAGAGTGACTACTCTGCAAGAAATTCCTTGCTTGAGCAAAAGAAACAAATCTGTGCTGGACAGGTGTCCTATTGGAAGATACCTGGTGTGTCAGGAGAGGGAGCTTCCGCGTCCTATGCAGAAATCTTCAGATCTCGATAATCAGGTGCGACCAGGTGTGTTAGGGCGATTGGGTGTCTCATAGCAAACTCCTGGCTTTAGTGATTGTCGCACTAGAAACTCAAAAATCTGTTTTGAAAGAAACCTCGAAGGTCTCGCTCCGCAGGTGCCATGTCGAAACTGATGTGCTGCTCCCTTTCACGGCCCCCTGCGAGTACGAGAAGAAGGAGCCGCTCATTCTCACGGAGCCTGAGGTGCGCCTCTCTCCTTTCGTCCCCGGAGACAAAGTGTCCCATTTTTGTCATGCAGGCTACGGGATCTCGGACTTTGGACACCAATTGCTAGACAACAAACCCCTTGATTAAGCTCTGCTGTCCCTACTCTTGAAGTATTTGAAACAATATAGTGGCCTTTAGCCTTCCGCTGTCAGGGACGTACTAGACGTTTTAAAACGTTCTGTACCCAAATGACGTACCATACAACGTGGCAAATTCCGCGGCTTTGACGGTTCAACGTATACGTATGACACAGTCGAAGCCTGACTTCGGCTTTGTAGGAGGCCTCGAAACGCGCAACTCAAGGAGCTCCCCTTTCATACAAGCCTTTTCCAACCGGGCGCCAAAAACCCCTGTTAAAAAACGCGCTCTTACGAAAGTAATCTTTACCTTCTGACTTGCGCGCAGGCGGCCGCGAGCCGCGGCTGATCGCGGCCGCGACCAAGCAGCTGGAGAAGCTGCCTTTCTACATGTCCTTCTGGAACCGGACGTCCGAGCCCACGGTCGAGCTGGTGCGCGACCTCGTCCGGATGTTCACCGCCGCCCCAATCGGACGGGTCTTGTTCGCAAACAGCGGCTCTGAGTGCAACGACACGCAGATGGGCTGTTCCCTCGGCCTGACATCCCATGGAATTTTTGTTCCAAAAGTCGGCACGTGACCTGTTTGAGAGAAAGGAATTCGTGCCGATCGACGGAAAAGTCTCGTAATGCCAAAGCCGAGCGGCTCGAAGCATGTTTGCTTTTATTTTCCTCTGTCTCGTTGCTTATGCACGTGAAGTTCGTCCTGATGTCGATTAGCAAAGAAATTCTGTGAGAAGGAGCGTGTTTCCTCTCAACCTTGTTGCTTTACCGTTCCTTTCCGGAGCTTTTAGAATGCTTCGGAGTCTTTACGGGATCAAAGGATGTAAGGAGCGCCGTCCTTTGTTGAACCCTAACCAGGCTCGGTTAACGTAACAGTCCAATTTGGCTACTTCGTGCGTCTATGCCATTCTTCGTTGATCGACTTTTAGAACACAGGAATAACCAGATCCCTGTAAAAAGAGGTTCGAAGCCCAATACCTAGAAACAGCATGGAATTGAGTTTGTACAATAGAAAATTGCGGAAACCGTAGCTACGTGCCAAAGGCAGTCTACGAACCAGTCCAAAGAGTTGAAGGCTTGCGGCGACCGTATAGTGACGTGTTACATGCAATCTAGAAAGTTGGTCTTATAGTCGCAAGTATGCGCATACTAAGGCTTTTTGCGTACCATCATGGCAAAGAATATATCATTGCGTGTGCAACGTGGCGCCGTTCAATCTTGAAGTACGGTAGCGTCAGAACCGTGCTCGGGCAAGATTCTTCATGCGGTTCGGCTGTGGAGATCCTAAACTGCACGCTTCTACCGTACTAACTGCGGCCATGTTTCATAGACGGTCATGAACCGTGACCGCATCAACAACTTGAATATACATCATGCGCCCTTGGATTTAGTATGAACTTTACGAACGTCTCCCTGTGTCAGAGCCAGGGAGATGTTCTCCTCGGTCAGGCTGCTCACAAGCTATAGTAGGGGACAGCTTTCCCCTTCACCAGATTCATGATCTGGGTACGTGGGAGACCCTTTTCTCCCCCTTACTAATATATAGGTTATGGACCCGGAATTCTCCCCGGGCCTCTATAATGATACCCGGGAAAATGTAGTCTCTCTGCCGTGCCAGTCCCGGGGGCCGGCTGGAGCCCGGCAGAGGTGGGAGTGGGGGAGGAACTTAAGCCATGGAAGGGAGCCAACCCTTGCGGTGTGAGCGGATATGCGCGCATGCATACATAGTCAATTCCATCAAAGTGCGTCCGACACAGCTGGCGCGCACGGATCGGATGCAGCCGCGCCGCGCCGGCTCTTGTACTAATTCGAACTTCTTTTCTATCAGTTGACATCGAGCATGTCGATCACCCGTCACTGCAACTGTCAGTGTCTGTGCGTGCGGGACTGAACGGTTCAACACATATGACCGTGATGAACAGGAAGAAGCTTAAGGTTCATACTAGGTTCATAAATAATAGCGGGACGGTCGTTATTCGGAAGCGGAAACGACAATGCACACGTTCCAACTTGGCCCACTTCATTTGCCTCCTTTTGGTTTCACATACGCAAGAACTGCAAACAAATAGATGGATGCAATAGGACGGGCCTATCACCTAGCTAGCTTGAAAATCAGAAGTACGTAGTAGCCATGCTCAAGCACGGTTATTTGGGATTTGACTGCCATCTCAACTAACTGAGTGTTCCAGCAACCATCCTCATATCGCATAGTTGAGGAAAGTGCCACGTGACTGTCTGCAATGCAACTCAAAACTATCAAAGTGACTAGATCGGAAGTCTCATGTCGAAAAGCTCGTCGTCGGAGCTTTCAGTCCTGCGTACAGGCGCCATATATCGCGCTAGAGCTCAGGTTCAACGAATGGTTGATATTTTCCAGCGTTGAAGCCGTTGTAGCCGACCTGCGTGCAAGAATTGTAGCTTTCAGTCCGAGCACGATGCAAAGCACATCTTGACATCTTGATAGGCATCGAGAGCCGAGAAGAATCTCGAAGAAGCTAGTGGAGGGTACAAACCGCCTGCGGGTTGAGACTGGTCATGGGCAAGTTCTGGCGACTGGTAAAAGTGTTTTTGAAAATTGGATTCTCCAAATAGTGCATCATCCAGGCGCAACACGTCAGGAACAGTGACCCCAATTTAGCTTTGGCGGAAGAGACTCTTGTAGCAACGCGCACCTGGAGTTTCGACAGTTCCTCGGAACCCCAGTCTTTCTCTCGATTTTCAGTCCAAGCTGTGACGAGTTCGTCGTTAAACGCACAAGGCCCTTTGTGACGACTCAGGCTCAATTCGAATCACTTGCTATTTGTTAACTGGCAATGCATAGACTTCTGTTTCGAACCCGGCCAAACGCATCTTGGAACGGGCCGTCAGTCAAGCACTCGGAAAAACAAATAACTGTGCGCATCAAAGAAGGTATGTCAAGCATCGGATCTCACCAGCTCAAGGTCAGCGTTCGGCTTCGTCCGGTCGTGGTGTGAGGGGTCGCTCACGTGAATGGCCAACTTGTCGTCTGCAATTTGCGCGGATTGTGTCAGCCAATTAGCTCGAACGTGTGGAAATGCTGTCGCGAATCTCCCGGCTCTGGGTTCATTACGTCCCTGGACTTTCGAGGCCAACAGAAACATGAATGTATCATTCGCATCATTCCCCTAAAAGAGTCTTTGTCTACTGTAGTTTTCTCGTCCCCAGACTTTGTCGATCAAAGTAGCCCTTCTCGGGGAGTTTTTCTTCCACGTCAGATCAGTTTGAGTCCGTGCTCATTCCTCACGCATATCTTCTCCGGGCTACACAGCAGGCCGAGCCGTAACATCGTCAAGGGGTACGGCACGTTCAAGGCGGCGCAACTGCCAATGTGACACATTAGGAGACGGCTGATCCGAACACTCACCTGAGATGACGTCACCTTTGGGTGGACCTTGAGGCAGCAGTACAACCGTGGGGAAGCTGTGGGTGTTCAGGCGGTTCCAGAAGACGATCCACGGCTTCTCTGACGTCAGTATGGAGTCCCAGAGCGTCATGCAGTAATGGACGACCACGCCAAGAAGCGAGCTCCCAATGGACTGGGCGAAGATCCGGCCATCGATGTAGATTCTCGTCGCCCGGGAGCTGCCCAACAGATACAGAGCAGTCTGGACGCCCGCCTGGGGGATCGACCGGAGCAACAAATCCCATAGCCCCCGCGAGGCGGCATAGCTCCCGAAACTCAGAATTGCACACTTGTCAATTAGCAGGCACACGCCGAGGTTCTCGAAGACCACCAGAACGTCGTAGAGCACCACCCCGAGCAAGCCCACCGGCCACAATAACACCATCAGTATCAAAATCAGTATCCTGGCACGAATCTCCCGTTGCGAGCGACCAGAATTGGCCGCCAAACGGTCGACAGGAACGAATCCCGGCCACACCCAGGCGAGTCGAACGGTAGAGACCCCCAATGGCTGCGAAACGACCCAGCTCTTGGCGAGGATAAGGGCCAAAACCACGGTTGGCGCGAGGAGCGATGGGAGAAGGAGCCACACGGGCCATGCGCCCCAGATCTCAATCAGCACCTGCGGGGAGTCAGTTACAGCGCGCCCATGAGACTTTGAAAGGTTTGTCAGCGCACGTGCAGGGAGTAAGTTACAGCGCGCCCATCGAACCTCAACGTGACTACTACTTGTATCTGTAGCTGCGGATAATACAGCTAAGATTGTTCGGACTTTTGTCAACGTAGGCCAACCGCAAAGTCGTGCTGCATGCCTAGCTGCTTGACACCAACTTTTGCCCCGGTACGTGGACCACCCAGCATGATCCCCCGGCCTGAGCAAAGTTTGCGCTGGGCCAAAATCGCGAGCCTATGATCTAGCCAAAATTCTGGAACTGCATCATTCGGAAACGACACCTAGTGCCAATAAACGCAAATAGAACCCAACTCTTCTCTCACTGCAAGCTCCACACTCAAGGCAAATTGTCCGAGCTTCAAACCTGGCTCTGAACTATTGATTTTCAGAGATAAACGACTTCTTTTCAAGCAGCGCAATTCTAACCAGATTCGAGGCAGGCTTACCTTGATGTCCGTATACAAGTCATAATAAGAAATGGCGGTCCGTACAACGCTCCATACGTATGCCACAAATTTCGCCCCCTTGGTCTTGCGACCCTCAAGCGGCACCTGTTGGGACTTCTGGCGGCGAAGTTGCCACGTGGCAACAGCCCAGACACATAGCGTCAGGAGGGGCAGGAGGGCAGCAAACGTGACATAAGCTATGATGACCACCGTGCGCGCCTCCGGGTTGCCGCACAAATTGCCCGACTGAACGCGGGTGAAGCCGACCCCCGTGTACGCCGAGCCCCTGGGGCCAAGATAAATTTGGTCCAGGAAATCGCTGGTGTTGAGGAGGTAACTTCCAAAGGTGTTAACGATGTATGGGACCACATACGAAGGCCCGGATCCTATCGTGTTAGGGTGACCGTTTGCGTAAACGACAGTCGTTGGCTGGTGCATCTTTAAGACAATGGCCGGTTGATCACCGTCCAGGAAGAGACTGATTCGGCCTAGGCACACCTTTTTCTTTGTCTCCTGGGACAGTTTGGGGCTTGACCCAATCAGGTCGACTGCACACCCGGCCCCCTTAACACACGAGTCCCAGAACTTGATATCCTCCAGCCCCTTTTCGCCGACCCACTGGACGTACTGGCAGGAGAGGGGAAGCTTAGACCAATCGGCGTTCTTGTCTCGCCCGGATATGCGGACGGATGACAGACTGGAGGCGTTGCTCAACCAATCGGGAACCGAGCCGGACAAGCCAACGGATCCTAGTTTACCGCAATCAAGAATCGCCTTGGGTAGAGCACCGGAAAAGCTGTTGTCATTGACATGCAGTGCGCTGAAACAACAGGCCCCCGGCACGCCGCATGTCATCGGCCCCGAGAATCTGTTATCGGACAAATCCAGAGACGCACTGTCAATCACCGCCTTCGGAGTCCCGCCCACTAGAGAAACCGGCCCCCAAAACAGGTTGTGGGATAGGTTGAGGGTTGCATAAGGTCTCGCAGTAATAAGGGGGCCTGGTGAACCCGATAGGAAGTTTGCTGACAGATTGAGTGACGCGAGCGATGAAGGGCGGGTCCAACTTGAAGGGATCGCACCCGAAAGGTTGTTGTTGGCGAGAGAAAGCGACTGGAGGTTCGTCAAATTGCACAGAGCAAGGGGGATGCCCTGCGAGAGGGCGTTTCTGGATAGATCGAGGCGTTGGAGCCTGGCAAGGCGTCCTAGCTCCGGGGGAATGGGCCCGGAGAGCTGGTTACCAGAGAGGTCGAGCGAGGTTAATTGGGTCATCTTTCCCAGCTCCGGAGGAATCCGGCCAAACAGCCCAAAGTTGGAGAGGTCAAGCGACGTCAACTGGGTCAATTGGCCAAACTCCGGGGGGATGGTGCCGGACCACATGTTCTTGGAGAGACCAAGCGAGGTCAACTTGGTTAGACGGCCAAGCTCAGGGGGAAGGGCGCCGGACAACCTGTTGTTGGAGAGATCAAGCTTAGTCAACTGGGATAATTGGCCAAGCTCCGGGGGGATGGTGCCAGACAGACTGTTGTTGGAGAGATCGAGAGAGGTCAGGTTGGTCAGCCGGCCCAGTGAGGGGGGGATGGGGCCTGAGAGTTTGTTCTTCGACAGATCAAGAGTCCACAGGGAGACCAAGTTACCCAGCTCCGAGGGGATGAGTGTGTCAAGGCTGTTGCCGCTTAGGTCGAGCTTTTGCAAATGGGAGAGTTTGCCAAGTGTGGGCGGAATGGAGCCTGAAAGAATGTTCTGGGCAAGGTTCAGCGAAGTAAGCCTAACAAGGTTGCCCAATTGGGGGGGAATCCCGCCCGACAATTCATTGTGGTCCAACCACAGGGTTCCTACTTTGTCCACCAAGTTGCCCAACTCCCAGGGAATAGGTCCCGACAAACTATTATTACCAAGGATAAGGTCCGCTAATTTTGTGAGTTTTGCCAACGCCGTGGGTATGGGACCCGTCAAGTTGTTGCTTGACAGTTCAAGTTGGGTGAGGCTAGCTAGCTCGCCCAACTCAGAAGGGAGGGGACCCGCAATATCATTGGTTGTGGCCACTATTAG